GTAATCAGGTTTCTGACGAGTACAAACTCGGCGTTACTCGCAAACATCTACCCATACTTCAGCTACATCGGAAACCCACGAGACATCTCTCTCTCATACGCTCTCTTCACTTCTCCTTCCGTTATCGTCTGGGACGGATCTCGCGGTTACCAAAACCTCTTCGACGCATTACTCGACGTCGTTTACTCCGCCGTCGAACGATCTGGCGGCGGTGGATCTCTTCCGGTCGTCGTTTCCGAGAGCGGTTGGCCATCGAACGGCGGAACCGCGGCAAATCTCGATAACGCGAGAGCTTATTACACGAATCTCGCGACTCGTGTGAGAGAGAACAGAGGAACGCCTAAGAGACCTGGGAAAGGAGTAGAGACGTATTTGTTCGCTATGTATGATGAGAATCTGAAGAATCCTGAGATTGAGAAGAATTTCGGTTTGTTTTTTCCTAATAAACAGGCGAAATTTCCGATCATATTCTCCGCCGTGAGGGACGGTGCGGGTACGGCGGTTGAGTGATTTGTTATATATCTGTGAAATTATGTGGTGAAATGTTTGGAACAGTATCGATTTGGGAGAGATAATAATCCCACGAATAATTTCCAAATAAGAATAAATTTCTGAATCATGAATTTGAAATTTGTATAGTTTATATAACAAACCAGAAGCAAAATTTGTATAAATTTCCAAATATTTGATTTATAGAACCAAAAAAACGCATCTGATCCAAACCGACTCGGAAATTTGACTAAAAACTTCAAAACCCGAACTGAATTCTGTAACAAACCAATAAATTAGACTTAACCAAAAGTCAGTGAAATCGAACCAAAAACAAACCAAATTCGGCTTGAAACTAGCTCTGTAACCTGTGTGTGGTGTAGTATAAAATTAAGGATCTCAGATGACGTGGCAATTTATGAGTCGTCCGATGACGAAGTTTCTCTTAGCATTTCGTGTCACTGTCCGTACGAGTAGCCAATCAACCTCGACCACGTAATCAATCGTTATAAGGACGATGACGTGGCACCATTGTGATGTTTGATTTTGTTATTGACATTAAAAATTCTGTGTTGGAGTTTATTTCGAACTTGTCCACAAAAAAAAAGAAGTTTATTTCGATTTTGCGAAATTTGGCGGTGGATTGGAATATTTGCAGATCAGAATTCTCCGGCGATAACATGGCGGACGAGAGATATAACCGGAAAAATCCGGCGGTGAAGAGAATTTTGCAGGAGGTTAAGGAAATGCAAGCAAATCCCTCTGATGATTTCATGTCTCTTCCTCTCGAGGTAATTTTGTTTTCCTCTCCGATTTGGTAGATTTTCCTTGTTTCTGTTTCGATTGTTCGATATTATTTCAATTCCTTTTGGTTTCTTCTGTGGTTGATTCAATTGCGTATTTCCTTAATCGGTAGAAATGGTTTCTTATATTCATGTCGATGTATATGTATTCTTTGGGATTTGATTGTGTATATATTCTGATGGACCAATCTTGCAAGAGATGAGGATTTTATTTTTGGATCTGTTGAGTCATTTAGTCGAAGATTTCAAATCGTTACTTGGTCTATTCTAGCCTCTAATGCTATTAGGATTTGGCATGTTTTCAATGGGTTGTGTGCAATGTTATATGTTTTATCGATTCTTGTTGTCGAAATACTTACATTGTTGCTCTATTTTTCTAACCTTGACAGGAGAATATCTTCGAGTGGCAATTCGCAATCCGAGGTCCTAGTGACACTGAATTTGAAGGTGGGATTTATCATGGGAGGATTCAGTTGCCTTCAGATTACCCTTTCAAACCTCCTTCATTCATGTTATTGACCGTAAGTATTTCTTTCGAAACGGGACATGTTTCTCGATTGAAAGAAGAGTGTCTATATTCTATATATCTCTGATTTTCTTTTTGCTCTTGTTTCAGCCTAGTGGTCGTTTCGAAACCAACACCAAGATTTGCTTGAGCATTTCTAATTACCATCCCGAGCATTGGCAACCGTCTTGGAGTGGTAAAACTCACAAACATATTGTTTCACATTTTTACACAAACAATATCCAATCATGTTGTAAATGACCAAACTAAACAATTATAAGTAATACTTAATTGAATAGTTAAGCTTTAAGATTTAAACTGTTATCAGTAAAGCAAGTTGAATATTATCAGCAACTTTGCTCATGAATTTGCTCTTGCTTTTTTTGCAGTTCGGACTGCTTTGGTGGCTCTCATTGCGTTCATGCCTTCAAACCCCAATGGAGCATTGGGATCAGTAGATTACCCAAAGGAGGAGAGACGTGCACTAGCCACTAAGTCGCGTGAGGCACCACCAAAATATGGTTCTCCCGAACGTCAAAAACTTATTGATGAGGTACTCCACTTGATCACATTTCCTCTAGAGCAATGTGAACTTTTGATCCACTATGCAATATTATTCTGGTGGAGAAATATGAATCTGGCTACATGTTTAGAATGCCTTTAATTATTGAAACAAAATTTTTGTTGACTGGCTAGTATTTGTTCATAATAATTGACATGAAGAAGAGCTCCTGGTCAACGTAAGGAACAAAATGCTATACGGATTATTCATCTAAAATGGGTTTATCTTACTTTTGAAGTATGATGTGTTTGGAATGCAAAATCGTTATGTTCATCTTTCATTTGAAACTTTGTTAGATATTAATTAATACTAAGATGCTACAATAACTATTGTAGATCTTGAAGCAAAATGAACATATATCTTTGAAAGTTAGCAACTTAGTATTGAGTTCCCATTTTTCGAACGTTTTAAGATTTGTTTCAACTTGAGTTTACGGTCAATTGCGTTTGGAGATCGTGCATAACTACTATCCCAGTAAAATTTGTGTGTATAATACTTATCTCAATGAGAAAACACCATTTATGAGGTTGCTATTATCATTGACCAAAATTAGTGTTAAGAATCTCGGTTTGAGTTTATATTTGAAACAGGTTTAAGTATTAGCTTATTTACAATCCGAGCATAACTTTATTTTCATGTGCTTTTTGATTGATGTACGCAGATTCATCAATACATGCTCAGCAAGACACCCGCTGTTCCCAAACCTAATCTTCAGGAATGTAACAAACCACCTTCTGCTGATTCAGACGGTCAGTCCCAAACCAAACCGCAGGACGCTTCAGCGGTTATATCAGAAGGTGATAACGCGCCTGAAGAGAATGTAGTTGATCAAATCGCTGAAGAGGCAGCTCAAACCGTTCTTCCAGAAGCAAATGCAGCGGTAGAGGTTGGAAACGGTCTGGTGAGGCGGCAGGAGCAACAGACCGTAGTTGTCAGGGCGGCTCAGAAACCGGCTGATGACAGGCTGTTCACTTTGGCTGCGGTTGGACTCACAATTGCGATTATGGTTCTTTTGCTTAAGAAGTTCGTAAGGTCAAGTGGTCATGGTGCTGTGTTTATGGACGAGTCGTGATCAGTGAGAACCCCAAATTGAGAGATAGAATTCGAAGAAAAGCATCAAAATGTGGAAGTGTTTATACTCCCATACATACTTAGTAACTGATTTGTGGTGTAATGGTTAAATAAG